GACAACATTATTCTAGCAGTAAAACAAAGAGATTCTTGGCATGGACCCTATGACACTGGTTGCCTCTGGTGAGGTTTTCACCATTCTATAGCCCTGCAAGGGAAGAGACTGGTGACCATCTCCACGGACAATGTCCAGTGCCAGGAAACAAGGGTCATCCACCCACGTGCCTAGTGGAACAAGCTGTCTCTGAATCAGCTCATGGATCCACTCTGAGAAATACTATCAGGCCCTGCTATGGTTGAATATTTGTCCCATCCAAAACTCACATTAAAATTTAATCCTCAATGTGGCAGTATTGAGAGATGAGGCCCTTAAGAGGTAATTGGGGCTGGGCATGGTGGCTTATGCCTGTAATCCCAGCACTTTGGGAGGCCGAGGTGGGCGGATCACCTGAAGTTGGGAGTTCAAGACCAGCCTGGCCAACATAGTGAAACCCCATCTCTACTAAAAATACAGAAATTAGCTGGGCATGGTGGTGTGCACCTGTAGTCCCAGCTACTTTGGAGGCTGAGGCAGAAGAATCACTTGAACCTAGGAGGCGGAGGTTGCAGTGAGCCAAGATTATACCACTGTACTCCACCCTGGGCAACAGAGTGAGACTCCATTTCAAAAAAAAAAAAAAAACCAACAGGCGATTGGGTCATAGGGACTTTCCCCTCATGAATAGATTTATCCATTTGTGGATTAATGAATTAATGGGTTAATGGATTAATGGAATATCATGGGAGTGGGATCAGAGGCTTTATGAGAAAAGGAAGAGGGACTTGAGCTGACACATTAGCACACTCAGCCCCCTTGCCATGTGACATCCTGTGCTGCCTCTAGACTCTGCCGTGTCCTCACCAGCAAGACCGCCCTCACCAATGGCCCCTCAACCTTGAACTTCTCAGCCTCCAGAACTGTAAGAAATAAATTCCTTCTGTTATACATTACCAAGTTTCAGGTATTCTCTTATAAGCAACAGAAAACTAAGGCCACAACAGAGTCAAAATTTTGCAGGCATCTTGTTTGGTTACAGACTGTTGCCTCCATCAAATGCCTTCATCCACGCAGCCCGGTAAATGATTGGCAGGCTCTGTTCTGTGATGTTTATAGCACTGAGGAAGTGCAGAAAGCAAGGCAAATATTTTAATATTCTTTACCTGCTAAACAGCCTAACAAGCCAACTGATTACACAGTGTATCCTTAAAAGGCAAAGACAGTGTAAAAGATCATTTTTTTTCTTTAGATGAGATGATTTTGTAATTCAAGTTCCTTCAATAAAGCTAAAGTCTATGCTGTTTATAGACCAAGGGTCAACATTTGTTCTCTATTTTTCACAGGTCTTGAGATTAAATGAGTAAATATATATTCATATATATTTGATATATTTGAATATATATACAGTATATATATTTGAATATATACACCATATATTCATATATAGTACATATATGAGAGATATATATATATATATTCTTTGAGGGCTAAGCTTTTCACAAGGTCTTGGACTAAGCGATCTGGTCGTCCAGAGGCTGCAGCTACCTGCTGATGCCAGAACACATGTCTCCTTGACATTGGGTCAAAGTTCATTTGTCAATATAACTTCTTCATACCTGAGACTCCTAGGTCACTTTCTGCCCTAAGAGGATGTGGAATAAGTGCACATATTCAGCCCAAAATACAGTTAAGTCATGTGTGTAGAGAAAACAGAAACTATATATATATGTGTGTGTGTGTATATGTGTGTGTGTATATATATTTTATATATATATAGAGAGAGAGAGAGCTATTGGGACCTGTTTTTTTAACAATGTCTACTTTTAACATTTGTTTCAGTGATTTGCTCCCAATTTCCACCAGTTACATTGCCGAGCTCCCCCCACCCACCTTTATTCGCCCACTTCTGTTGCGTATCTAAACAAACTTGGCTGTGGCTCAAATTTGTACTAATTTGCCAGTTTTGTGTCCCCCCTCCCTTCCTACTCCTCAGGGCATGGGGGAAGCCAGATGAGCTAGGTGAAGGCGGGGCTTTGGCAATTCAGGAGATGTGAATTTTGCAGGCATTAGTTCTCACTGGACATGTGTCCCCAAAAGTGTGGCCCAAGAACCTACGTGACTACACCTGCAAAGAGAGCAATTCCTCAGGAAGCTCAGTACTAGGAGTGGGGAGAAGGCTGTGTCCTATTTCCCACTTCCCTCCACATGAGGCCCTAGAGAGAAGATGTTCTGCCCTAGCCAGAGAGGTAGAAGGGAGCTGTTGCCACTTCTGGGGTTCTAAGCCTTTTGCCAGCAAGGTTGTACTTAACTTTCCTCCCTTCTCCTATTTCTTTCTAAGTTTATCTATCTCTCAATGTCCAGGTCAAGTTTTGCCTCCTCCAGGAAGTCTTTCCTGACTGCTCTTGCCAGAAGCAATTGCCTCTTCAAAGACAAGAAGCATCTACCACCTGTCCAGCCCCGTAGATGTTAGCAACATCTGATTTTACTGTTTCAAGAACTTTTTTCAGACACAAATAATATAAGAGAGAACCAAAAAAAAATACAATTTTTTAAAAAGTATCCAGGAGCAACATGAAGTTCAAACTGTGATGCTTTCAGGTGAAAACAAGGGACTAGAAAGGGCTGAGAGTCGTGGAGGGACATCCGGGTTCATCTAGTTCTGACTCTATTTGAAGTCTTTTTTTTTGTTTTTTTTTTTGTTTTTTTTTTTTGAGACGGAATCTCGCTCTGTCATCAGGCTGGAGTGTAGTAGTGCAATCTGGGCTCACTGCAACTTTTGCCTCCCAGGTTCAAGCGATTCTCCTGCCTCAGCCTCCTGAGTAGCTGGGACTACAGGCACATGCCACCATGCCCAGCTAATTTTTTGTATTTTTAGTAGAGATGGGGTTTCACCATGTTGGCCAGGATGGTCTCGAACTCCAGACCTCGTGATCCACCTGCCTCGGCCTTATTTGAAGTCTTTTAAAAAACCATCTCTAACAAGCCCTACATACAGATCCTACTTAAAACCTTGTAGAGGCAGGGAATGTAGGTTTTCTTCCTCACTCACTTTTGGAGCATCTCTGAAAGTCAAAAATAGTTCCTTAGATTGGCTCGTAATGTATTTTCTTGTGTGATAATTGGAAAAATATTACAGCTTTAAGATGAACTCTTCCATTCATTCTTTCACACCATCTATCTCTGTAGAATATCACTGAGTATCAGATTCCATCTATCTATTTATCTATCTCTCCATCTAGTGCCAGTGCTCAACCAGCCGAATGAAACATCAACAACCAAGTCCTCCCAAGCACATGTAGCCTGCAGCCTTACAACCAGACACTAAAGCTATTTGTTCATTCATTCATTCAATCCTCTATTTAGAGAATAAACCATGTACCAAGCATTGTTCTTGAGACTGGCTGTGCAGCAGAGAGCAAAATAAGCAAAGAACCTACCTTCAGGGAGCCTGTGCTCTAATAAGGGAGACAGATTAACAAGAAATCATAAGCATACACAGGATCGGGCAGTGAAATACACTCTGAAGGAAAATAACACCACATTGATGGATAGACAGTGATTGAGAGTCAGAGGAGGTGACATTGGGGCGACCTGAGTGAATTGGAGAAACAAGCCATGTCACTATCTGAAAGACGAAGCTTCCAGGGGGAAGAAGATCTAGCACCAAGGCCGAGGCAGCGGTTTTCTTGGTGTACAAGGCCTGTGCAGTTGGAAAACAGTGATCCAGGAAAGTGGTAGGGAAGAAATGAGGTCGGGGGCTAGACAGAGCTTGACGGAGGCCCGTGGACCATGGTGAGCGTGGTGACTTCATTCTTGGTGTGATAAGAAGCCGTTGCAGGGTTTTGAGAAGAGCCATAGCCTGGTGTAAGTTTCACAACGCCACACTGTCTACTGTGTGGGGAAGAGAACAGATTGTGCAGGGCCCAGAGTGGAGGCTGGAAGCCCAAGCAAGAGTCTCTCTTGCTTATTCCTGCTGCTTCCTGTGTACCAGCTTCCCACCTCAGTTGCAATCTGTTCCAGGGCAGATTGTTCTGGTCTGTCTGGAAACCCCGCTGCTTGGCTCCAGGGAACCTTCCAGAGACCAAAACAGCTCCCTACATTCCACCCACCATGTTCCCCTTTCCTTTGTAACCCAACCTAATATGCCTGCACCACCATTTTCTAGCTTTCTGCCCTTCCCCAAACACTCAGCCTCCCCACTTTTAGGGTCAAATCCTGTTCAGATAGTGCTAGGGAACAACCAAACTAATCTCACACAGTGGTTCTCACTGAGGTGTAAATTGCAGGTGTAATGCTAATATATTACCTGTTCAGGGGGCATTTCTTCAGTACCTATTCCAAAAGAATAGAGCTTTAGCAATATCATTTCAGAACCCATTAACAGACTTCACACAAAGTATTGGCAGGATGTTAGGCCCTCCATAAAATTACAAGAAAAAAAATAAGACCATAGATTTCAACATTGACATTATTGCAAATTAGATCATGAACATAGAATTCACTCAATGCCTGGGATGGCAAGGCTACAAAAAGCTATCTAATCAAGCCAACCCATTTTAAAGATGAGGGAACTGAGCCCCCCAAATTAGAAAGCTTTGGCAGAAAAACCACAGGATTGGTTTGCTGTAAACTGTGAAAATTGTAAAATACTTTAGGAATGGCTAGAATGATGCTGGCAACTTTTGTTATCACTATTATTTTGCTAATTGTGCTCTATCTCCTTCAATCTCTTCCTCTCTGTAGAATCTACCACTTATGACTCAGAATTGATTTGGCGTCTAGAGTCAGGTCCCTGCGGCATGAATAGATACAACCCTACTGATCCAGTTTTGACTCATCTACCCAACGGACTCAGCACCAAAAGTAGAGGTGATCTGGCTTGGGAAAACATCAACAGTATGAGCACAGATCCCTAACACCTGTCATTGTGCAGACTATCCACAGTGTGTTACCCGGGGACATTTAAGAAAGCATACATTTGTTCAAAAACAGCAGCTGAAAGAAGGAAAGGTTCTTACTTGCCGTTCACTGGACTCAGATACCACTTGGGCATTGGCTTCTCAAAGGACCCTGGCCACCTCCAAGAATCCTGGCCCTCCAGTGCATTCAGACAGAGAAGGAAGGATCCTGTGGTCTACAGCCTAAAGGATGGCTGCACCACTGAAGCTTCAGATTAAATATTTTTGTGATTCCATAAGCAGAAAACAAACTGTTCTCGATGAATGACAGGCACAGCACAGATGCCACCTATTAAATAATTAAAATAAAGTAGAAATTAAAAATAAACAGTGGGAAATGATTTGAAACACACACAACCAAAGGATGCGGAAAAAGTAACTTGGGAATGAAGAAGTGGGTAAAATTAGATTTGAGTTATTTCTAAATTCAATTGCATCTAGATTAACTGGCTGTCTTTCTCCTAGTGTCAGCATGAAATAAACAATACCTACACCAAGAAATCCTAGAAGCAAGTGTACTGCTAATGCAGCCACGGTGCCACTTCTGATGGTCCCAGCATTTGCCCATGAAGCCAAGATGGGAAGGTATAAAGTGAGATATGAAGAAAGGAAAATGAAAATAGAATTTGTAATGGTTGGCAAATGCTATGTAATGAACAATCACAGAATCTTAGTAACACACAACAATAAATACTTGTCTCTCTCAAATTTGTGGGTCAGTTATAAATTTGCTGATTTACACTGGGCTTGGCTAAGTGGCTCTGCTTCAAGCTGCAGATCAGGTTGTGCTTGACATATCTCAACTGAAGTTTGGGCTCTGGTCAATTTTATGCATGCTTATTCTAGGACTTAGGCCAAAATGGCAAAAGTAATCCAGAGGAAACTTGCTTCCTGGTAAAGACAGAAATTTCAAGGCGTATAGAAACACACAATTCCTCTGAAGCCTCAATCTGGGACTGGCATACTGCCACTTTTATCTACATTCTACTAGCCAATAGAAGTCCCATAGTCAAGCCAATTTTGATGAGATGGGAAAATACACTCCACCTACTCTGATAACTGGTACTGCAAAGCCACATGGGAAAGAAAGTGGGCATGTAATTCTAATGTAGAAGATCATAAAGAACTGCAAACAATGGTTCACTCCACTTCAGGTTTTATTTCACATGACACTTTCCAAAGAAAATTGTTTATGGGGTCCTTCAAGATGATGGTCTAGACCCTGGTTCAGCAAACAATAGCCCACAGACCAAATCCAGCTCGCCAGCTGTTTTTGTATGTATTGCAAACCAAAATGAGTTTTTATATTTTTAAATCATTGGCAGAAAAAAATCAAAAGAATGGTGGTTGGTAACACATGAAAATTACACAAAGTTCAAAACTCAGTATCTATAAATAAAGTTTCATTGTACCATAGCCATACTCATTTGCTTTTGTATTAACTATGGTTCTTTTGTATGACATTGCCAGAGCTGAGTCGTTACAGCAGAAACCATATGGCCTACAAAGTCTGAAATAGCAACTCTCTGACCCCTCAAAGAAAAAGTTTGCTGACTCCTGGTCTAGACCACCATTGTCCAAAAAGAAAAATAATGTGAGCCACATACGGATTTTAAATAATCTAGTAGGCACATGAAAAAAGTTTAAAAGAAATCTGTGACATTAATTGTAATCATATATGTATTTAACCAAATATGTCCAAAATAGTACATTTCAAAAAAGTACAAATGAGATACTTTATTCTTTTTTTATACTAAGTCTTTAAAATCTGGGGTATATAAAATACTTTATTCTGTGGTATATAAAATCTGGGGTGTATAAAATATTATATACTTACAGCACAGATCATTTCAGACTACCCACATTTCAAGTACTCAATAGCCATGTGTATGTATCTGGTGGGGACCCTGTAGGAAAGTAAAAATGTACACACTTTTTATGCCCTCAGAAGATGCCTAATCCTGGTTTACTAGAGTTTTTTTTTCCAAATCTCCTCTGAAGTCAATTTGTTGCAAATGATCTCTTAGTTTGAATGACCACAGAATGTCTATCTATACTCAACATTATGTTACCTTGTGCCTTGAAAAGAACCCTACCTGCAGCAGAGGCTCAAAAAATGTTTGTTGTATAAATAAATTCGTGAATGAATCATGCCTTTGTTCATATTATGCTTCTGAAGTCATTCTTTGGCTTCTCCCTATATTTGACTCCTGTCCCTGCAACTAGACTGTTTGCTGCTTAAGTATGACAATCAAGTATCTCTTATTGGACTAATTCTCCTGCAGATAAAACTACAAACCATGGGAAATACTTTTTAAATAACTACGTGAAGGCACTGAAGAACAATCAAAAGAGCTTGCAGTGAGCTGAGATCCGGCCACTGCACTCCAGCCTGGGTGACAGAGCGAGACTCTGTCTCAAAAAAAAAAAAAAAAAAAAAAAAAAAAGAAGAACTTAAGGCCAGACACGGTGGCTCAGGTCTGTAATCCCAGCACTTTGGGAGGCTGAGGTAGGCGGATCACTTGAACCCAGGAGCTTCCGACCAGCCTAAGCAACATGGTGAAACTTCATCTCTACAAAAAATACAAAAAAAAAAAAATAGCCATGTTTGGTGGCCCATGCCTTAGTGCCAGCTACTCAGGAGGCTGAGATGGGAGAATAGCTTAAGATGGGGAGGTCAAGGCTGCAGTGAGCCATGATCCAAGCCACAGAACACAAACCTTGAGGGGAGACTGGACTTATCTTGAAAGAAAGGAAAGGCACCTGATTTATTTCCCATTTTTACATTGTTTTTAACCTGAAGGCAGGCTTCATTCAGCAGCAAGTGGTGCGGCTGAAATTTGATAGGCATTCCACAGTCCTGTGGCTTAAAGAAGCAGAGGATACAGTTCAGGGTACCCACAGCAGCTGAACGCAGGGTCAGGAGGGTGGGGTTTGGGGTGGTGGTGAGGGCTAATGCAAATAGAAATGAGCCGAGGATAGGGAGCTGATATGGTTTGAGTCTATGTCCCCGCCCATATCTAATGACAAATTGTAATCCCCAATGGTTGGAGGTGGGGACTGGTGGGAGGTGATTGGATCAGGAGGCAGACTTCCCCCTTGCTGTTCTCATGATACTAAGTGAGTTATCAGAGATTTGGTTGTTTAAAAGCATGTAACACCTCCCCCTCTCTCTCTTCCTCCTGTTTCAGACGTGTAGGACAAGCCTGCTTCTACTTTGCCTTGCACCGTGATTGTAAGTTTCCTGAGACCTCCTTAGCCATGCTTCTTGTACAGCCTGCAGAACCGTGAGCCAATTAAACCTCTTTTCTTTATACATTTCCCAGTTTCAGGTATTCCTTTATAGCAGTGAGAGAACGGACTAATACAGGAGCCCTATATTCTGCACATAAATTCTGTCCAAATATCTGGCTGTCTCCTGGACTGCGCATGTGTGACACAGACAGGAAGAAACTCAGCTGAGGGTAAAAGAAGAGAATTTTGCCACTGCCTGCAATATTGGAGGCAGTTTAGAATTTTAGTCCTGCAAGCTAACTTCCTGCTTTAAAAAACAAACAAACCAAGTTTTCTGAGAACCATAACAGAATAAGCCAGAGTGTCTACAACATATAATTTAGAACGTCCTGGATACAATCTGAAATTACTAGACATACTTAAAAGCAGCAAAATGAAGTCTGACCCTGAGATAACCCAGATGTTGGCATTAGGGAAAAAAAAGGATTTTAAATCAGCTGTTATAACGGTTATAACTATGCTCAAGGACATAAAGAAAAATGTTCGCCAAGTAAATAAAAACAGAAAATCTCAGCAGAGAAACAGACTGTTTAAAAAAGAACCAAATGAAATTGTAGAATTGATATATTCCAGGATAGAAACTCAATATTTTAAAAATCAATTATATTTTATTTCCTAGCAATAAGTACTCAGGACTTAAAATTTTTTTAAAACAGACATAATTTACAATAGCAACGCAAACTATGAAATACTTAGAGATAAGTCTGACAAAACATGTGACATGTGTAACTGAAAACTATAAAACACGGCTGAGAGAAACTGAAGAGCACCTCAAAAAATGAAGGAAGTTTTCATGGGTTTCTGTTTCATGGGTAGAAAAACTCAATATTGCTAAGATGTCAATTATCTCCAAACTGTTCTATACATTTAACACAATCCCAATCAAAATTGCAGCAGGCTTTGAGTTGAGAAGTTGATTCTAAAATTTGACTGAAATAGCTCAGTTGGCAGAGCATTAAACTGAAGATCTAAAATTCATATGGAAACTTAAAGGACATAGAATACCAAAATAAGTTAGAGAGGAACAAAGTTGAATGACATACTACCAAGCTTCAAGATTTATTACAAGGCTACAGTAATCAAGACATTTAGTACTAGCATCAAGATAAACAAATAGACATGGAAGAAAACATAGAATCCAGAAATAGACCCAAAAAATTGAAAAGAAATCAATTTTTAATTGCTTTTTTGTGTTAGGCAATTCAGTGAAGAAAGGACAGTATTTCCAACAAATGACATTGGAACAATTAAGCATCCATATGCATGCATCAATTAGTTAATTAATGAATTTCAATCCATAAATCATGTGAACTGAAATCATATGTATTGCATCATATATACAAATTTACTCAAAATACATCATGGGAATAAAAGTAAAATCTAAAATTATAATACCTCTAGAAAATTAAAGCACAGGATGAAATCCCTTTTTACCTAGATTAAGCAAAGATTCTTCAAAATGATGCCAAAACAAGAATTCATGAAATAAAAAAATTTATAAATTAGACTTGATCAAAATTTAGAACTTCTGCTTTTCAAAGACACTGTTAAGAAAATAGAAAGAGAAACTACAAGCTATGAAAAAAATATTTTCAATATTAATTTTGATAAAGGCTTTATATCCGTATATATGAAGAACCCAAAATTCAATAATAAGAAACCAAACAACCAAAGGAAAAATGGCAGAAGATTTGAGCAAATAATCGGAAAAAAAGATTTGTGGATAGCACCTCGCACATGAAGAGTTGCTCCAACATCATTAGTTCCCAGAGAAATGCAAATTCAAACCACAATGAGATACCACTACATACCCACTAGAGTGACTAAAATAAAAAACTGGCCATCCCATGCCAAATGTTGGCATGAATCTAGAGCAACTGGAACTCTTATAGACTGCTGATGGGTGTAAAATGGCACAACCACTTTGGAAAACAGTTTGCTATTTTTAAATGTTAAACATTCATCTACTAGATGTTTGTCCATGAGAAATGAAAGCATATTTCCATTCAAGGACTTGTACGTGAATATTCATAGCAATTTTATGTAAAATAACCAAAAACTGGAAACAACTAAATGTTCAACAGGTGAATGCATAAACAAACTATGATATATTCTTGCAATAGAATACTATTGTGCAATGAAAGTGAATGAGGTGTTGAAACATTCAACAACATAGTTGAAAAGTATAATTATGTAAGTGAAAGTTGCAGACAACAAAAGAAACAACTGTCCTATTTCATTTATATAGAATTCTAGAAAATGCAATCTAATCTATAGTGACAGAAAGTAGATCATGGTTTCCCAGGGGACCAGGGAGCAACAAGAGAGATATTACAAAGGAGTATGAGGAAGCTTTCGGGATTGGTGAATATGTTCATTATATTAATTGTGGTGATTGTCTCATGGGTGTATTTGGATGCAAACCTCATCAAATTATACACTTTAAGTATATGCATTTTATATTTCAATTATACCTCAATAAAGTTATTAAAAATAAACAAAAATGCACTGGATGTACTTAATAGTATTTGAAAGACAATAGAACAAAGTCAGTAGAGAGAGCAATAGAAATTATCCAACCTAAAGAACAGGGACAAAGCATCATTACAGTAATGAAAAGAGCCTCACCAATCTATGGGACGGTATCAAAAGATCATTCTCATAATTGAAGTGCCAGAAGGAAGATAAAGTTAAAAAAAAAAAATTGAACAATTTGAAGAAGTAATTGCTGAAAATCTCGCCTGTTTGGTCAAAAACATAAATTTATCCAACTCAAAATATCTGCACAGCAAGGGAAACAATCAACAGAGTGAAAATGCCACCTTTGGAATGGGAGAACTTATTTGCAAACTATGTATCTGATAAGGTGTTAGTTTCCAAAATATGTAAGGAATACCAACAACTTAATGGCAAAAAATAATAATAATTTAAAAATCCAATTTAAAAAATTAGCAAGAGACAAAAATAGACATTTCTCTAGAGAAGACATACACATGGCCAACAGATATATGAAAATGTGCTCAACATCACCAACCATCAGGGAAATACAAGTCAAAACCACAATAAAATATCACCTCATACCTGTCAGGATGGCTACTATCAAAAAAAAACAAAACAAAAGACAACAAGTATTGGCAAGGTTATGAGAAAATTAGAACTCTGTATACGCTCGGTAGGAATAGTAAAACGATACAGCCGCGATGTAAAGCAGATTGGCAATTTCTCATAAAGCTAAAAATAGAGCTACCATATATCTATTTCGGGGTATAGAGCGAAAAGAATTGAAATTAGGATTTTTTTTATTTTTTTAGACAGGGTCTCACTTTGTCATTTACTTTGGAGTACAGTGGTGCAATCATTGCTCATTGCAGCCTCAAACTCCTGGGCCCAGCCGATCCTCCCACCTCAGACTCCCAAATAGCTGAGACTATAAGCACAAGCCACCATGCCAGGTAACTTTTTAATTTTTTGTAAAGATAGGGTCTCACTTTGTTGCCTGGGCTGGTCTTGAATTCCTGGCTTCAAGCAATCCTTGCTCCTTAGCCTCCTAAAGTGGTGGGATTACGAGTGTGAGCCACCACATGCAGCTAAAATCAAGATCTTGAAGAGGTATCTACACTCGCACGCTCATTGTAGTATTATTCACAACAGTCGAGATATGAAAACAGCCCAAATGCCCATGGACAGATGAATGGATAAAGAAAATGTGTTATATAGGTACAGAGGACTATTATTCCATCTTTTAAAAAGGAGAAAAAAAATACCATTTACCACAGCATGGATGGACCTGGAAGATATTATGCTAAGTGGAATGAGTCAGTCACAGGACAAATACTGCATGATCCTACTTACATGAAGTATCTAAAATAGTCAAACTCATAGAATAAGAAAATTAAATGGTGGCTGCCAGGGGATGAAGCTGGCGGGGGGAAAGAAGCATTGTTCAGAGGGTATAAAGCTACACCTACACAGGATGATTGACCTTTAGAGGTCTGCTGTACAGCATTGCATAACAAGAGGGTAGATCTCATGTTAAGTGTTTTGACCACTAAAAAGGGGCGTGGGGACACAAGGAAACCTGTTCTACAGTTTCAAGGTTCTTTA